GAAGTCCATCTAGGTTTTTCAATGTCAATAGTGCATACAACGCCTGTTTCTGAATTCGAAAATTCAAAATGTTTACATTTAGTACAGCGCCATCTGTTGTTGGAAAGGATAATAAAAAAAAATTTAATTCTTCGGAGAAATTAATAAAGGATTAATTACTATTATTATTTAAATATCTCATTAATTAATAGCATTTACGATAATGATGGTTTTCATACTTTTCTTTTAAATACCTAGTATTGTATGGAACAGTTCTAAAGTGTCACAGTTTCGTATCTCATTGCACTTTAGTTATAAGTGAGCAATTAATCTAATGATAAAGTTAGATAGCATTAATACGATCCGTTGTATATTTTTTGCGATAAATAATTAATTTATCTATAAATCTTCATAACATTGGACGCGTTTATTCTGTGAATATATTGAAAAATGGATACAAACTTGACCACCGTTTTGATATTCATGACTCTAAATGTATTATTATTTTGGATACTTTATGGATTATTAATGAGATATTTTGGTAAGTACAACTTTCAAGTTGTTTAAACCATAGATAATATATCATACTATATTTAGACATACCGGCCTGTATAAACTGACGTGAACGTGTATAATTGAATTTACTTTTAGCATCTATTTCCAATTTTCAATTTTTTTAAACTATTGACAATATCGTTATAATGTATAGTACCAGCGATTTTATAATTAAATGGCTCTTAGTATATTAAATAGATTTTAAGCGTGTAATCACATTTTATTGTCATTGTTTCTAGTATCTTCTCTTCCTTAATGTTTTATTGTCAAGGTTAGTTTCTTTACTGATAATGACATTTCATTAAAGCGCCATCTATGAAAGCAAAAGTGAACCTTTATAAAACGTCTCGAAAGTATTTTTTATTTTCTAAGTAGTGTACTAATTTGATACTTTTTATCATATTTTATCGGATAATTATAAAGTTATTTCCCTTGATAAGATTTATTTTCGTGGATACTTATCGTTTCGTATAGTTGTTTGTTAGAATTGAATAATTATTTCGTGTCTACGTATTGTTGTGCAATAAAGTGGTTTGAATTAGAAAAATGTATCCTTCTTATATGGTTTGGATCGCGATTTTTATACTTGTCATAGTATTTATTGCGTATAGCCGTTTGAGTGAGTATTTCTTATACTTTTGCTTTGTCAAATATTATCTGTTAATTATGTATGTTACAATAATTATTTTTTAAATCAATATTCCTTTCTGAAATTAAATGTAATAATCGTGAATTGCTAAAATGTATGTCGGACGTTTAAATGTATTTTTTTATCGTAAAATTAGTTACACTTCATTGTGTTTGATATTTATTTATTTGGTCATAAATGTATTGTTTAGTTTGTTATGCAAATTACTATAATTACGAAGTAATTAGGATAACAAATTAACTATTTCGCTTTGCAAGCAATCTTTTTGTACTCCTTATTTTTTTTAATTATTTCCACCTAATGATTTAACGAATTCATTACAGAAAAACATCCTGTCTAAAAATAATAATTGTCATGCAAGTATTTCAAGCAATATAATTAAAACTTAAAAATCTTTACCCAATTTTTAGTTGATTCGTCTGGAATATTCATAACAGTGCCATCTATCGGTCGGTACCAGTATTTATAAAATATCATGTGCGTTATCTAGTTTTATCAAAGGCAACACATTTGAATGTAACAAAGAAACTTTTATAACATTATTTCATAGAAAAACATTACTAATTTGAAGAGAATAAATCAAATGGTTAGTTAATTACTAGTTATAATTATGAATTGTCCATACTTTAAAGATGTCTATAGTTCTGAATAGTCTATTTTACTATTAGTTCATATACACCGATTTTAAGCATCGTAGGAGTACTAAGTTTTATGCTAGTTATTAGTTAATAATAAGGATGATGATTTAAACAATGGCGCAGGCAGTATTGTTACCTACAGAACATAAATGTTTGACAGCGCCATCTATTATCGAATAGCGATAACTATTTGATGTTATTTGTGAGTTAAAATCTTATAATTACAAGAAAATATATGTAAGTGTTTGTCTTATAATTATGGAATACTAGATTTAAATATGTTTACATAATTTTAGTATTTCAATTGAAATTATATACCTCTACTAATATTAATAAAGAGGAAAGATTTGTAATTTTGTATGTATTGGAATAACTCAAAAACTACTGGGTCGATTTTAAAAATTATTTCACTATTAAAATAACATAGGCTATGATTTTTACTATCTTATAGTTCCACTTAGACGAAGTCGCAACATCTATTCATTGGATATTTTTGTACATACTTTGTTGAATGATTTTCATTCCCGTCGCTTCTGAAACGTCCAAAATAACCTTTGAAAAATATGTAGGTATACAAAATAAACAGAAAGTATTTCCTATTACGATACACTAATCTATTCAAATATAAAGAGTAAAGATTTGTATTTTTGTATGTATTGAAATAACTCAGGAACCACTGGGCCGATATCAAAAATTCTTTCACCAAAAAGCTACGTTATCAGAAACATATGCTATCATTTTTTAATAACACGCGGGCGAAGTCGCGAGTAACAGCTAGTCTCTTACAATCTTGTTACAGTATCGATCAAGTTATCTGACGTGAATAAACATTAAGAACCTGATGATTGATACATTGACGTGTTACCTTTAGAATAAATATTTTAATCTCGCTTACTTTTACCCGTGACTTTGCGTGTACAGTCGCGAAAATCCTATATTCGACTTAAAAAATTATCGATTGTAACGAGATAGTCTCCGCCTCTGCCTATTAATAACTAATTGGATAAAAGTGAGTGCAAAAAATAAAATCTATACTTCTATACCATTATAATAAAGCGTAAACACACACTCCTTTGTTGCCTAAGATGTCAGCAATTACAGCATATTTTTGAATAATTCTTTTTGTAATAAAAAGCCCTACACTGACGTCACGCTTTAGGTTATACATTTTCACGCCATTAAACTTAGGGGGGTAAATATTTAAGATAAAAACCCTAATGTGTGAAAGAGACCATAAGTTGCTGGCAACATCAAGGAAGTGATCAGTGATCTCACACTTGTCTGGTCAATACCTTTAGCTGCCCTGAATTAAAAAAGTATATTTATCCAATAAATTTAAAAACATTAACCATAGCTGCATTTCCTTAAAACAATCTCAAATTGTGGGCTATCGACACCAATTCTTACAATCACACTAATATTATAAATGCGAAAGTTTAGATGGATGGATGTTTGTTAGACTTTGTAGCCTAAACAGCTGAACGGATTTCGATGAAATTTGGTATAAATGTAGATGATAGTCTGGAACACATAGGCTATTCACTTTTGTTTTTTTTTTTAATTCAGCGGACGGATTCGCAGGCGAAAGCTAGTGATATATACTTACAAACGTACTAACGAAAATTTTACCATTTTATTTCAAACCAAAATAGGAATTCTAAATTGAAACACAACTGTTCTTAGTCTAATAAATCATTTTAAATCTCACGTTGACAGATTATCTAGTATTAAAATACCAACCAACTTTGTTACAAAATAAAAGTCACCAAATCACACTTAAAACGTACACAATAAGAGTTATATTAGAATAAACAAATACATTTTTAACTGCATTTCAAATGTTTGTTGACCAGCATCTTGTGAACTTATGCCATTTTCTAAATAGCTGGCTTTGAAGTGACTTGTAAAAATATGTAAAACCAATAATCTGATACAAAATTAAAACTCCACCTGTTCTGCAATTAACAGTGTAGTGACGTTTATAAGTTGACAATTCTTTTGAGGTTATTCAAAAAATTGTGTTTTAAACATACTTATTTTTGTTATAACATTTAACAAATAATAAAGTGTTGTGTGAACATAAATAATTAACCATATTTTGGGGAAGAATATTTCTGGTGCTAAATATAACTGGTAACAGAAAACAAGATGGCCGCCGAGAATGACGTAACCCATTCCGCGCGTGGAGAATTGACAGTCGCTACGATTGCATACATCTCTATATTATCAACAGTTTTGGCGATGTCTTTCATTATAATGTGCATAAAAGTTTCTTCCTATGGTAAATTACTTTATTTATCTACGAAACATAATTAATAAAAAATAAAACAATGAAATTCGACTCTCGAAATACTAATGCAAAAGTGATTATTTTTGTCAACGAAAGTTAAGAGTCAAATGGAGGTCTGTGATCACTACTTACCACTTTGTTTACGGGCATGATTATTTGATTATTCCCAACCGTCACCCCGTTCTGTCCCCACGTGTGATTATAGTGTCCCACCATCGCCAATAAGGTGACTGTTTAAATGAAATGCAGGAATTATAAAATTTAATACTTGATAACCATTTTAAATAGAAAAGCAATAATGACAATGACATTAGTTCTTCTTTTTAAAAAATATTCTTTTTAATCATAAACAGTGATATATGGAACCGTTATGAAATAAAATAAGTTCCAACCGTCTCCAGGTGGGGACAGAGCGGGGTGACAGTTCGGAATAATCCTGATTATGTTTTTATAGTAGTGAAAGGTAAAGACAGAAATGACTATTCTAGAAATATTCGGCTTTAATTGATTAGTAATTGATGACCTGAAAAAAATGTTTTTTGATGTGTTTTCAGTGATTTAAATCGATTAGATTTCCGTAATTTTTTTTTTAAATCCTATCTAGATCACCAGTACAAAAGATAATTATAAGTAGTTTGATAAAGATTTTTATTAACTAAAAAAAACAAAAGTAATTCCATTGAATGCATGAAGGATAAATAGTATTTTGTTATTCGTAATTTAAAATATTGTGCAGACGAAGTCGCGGTCAACAACTAGTATATTTATATATCTTGTACATTGTTGTGGTAAGCTATTCACATATTTCTGTCAACGATACTGTCAATATCTAGATAAAAGAGTTGTGATATGTCGCAAGAGATTTAAAAAAAATATTTTTTTTAATCATTTAGTCTTGAAAACATCATGCATTCGATAAGTTCTTACAACATGAATTTAACAGTGATAAAGTGAAGTGTTCTATAAAAAAAACAGTTTAAATTTACTTTAGCACTTGTTTCGTTTGAACAAACGAATCTTAGTGCTTATAAATTGAGAACGTACGAGTACTATCTAGTTTGGGGAACAAACAGATTTTGTGCTGTGCTCATTTGAAACAATCAATAATGGCTCCACCATACGGATATCCGAACTATGACTTTGTAGAACAGGACTCGACAGATAATGATAAATCAATCGATGATAATGTAGGATATTCAGAAATGGTGTTTTGGTATACCATAGTGTTAGTAGCAATGCTACTTTTGTGGATTCTGATTTTCTTCTGCCTCAGGATGATTTCACTAAGTATTTAGCTTTTATTGTCACATGATTTTTTTATCTTACTGATAAAATTGTACGCGATTGGTTCGTATTGATATCGTTGCGACATAATAATCGGTCATATGTTTTGATCTAGACTAGACATTACTAATATAAATGCGAAAGTCTAGATAGATGAATGTTAGAGTTTGCCTAAATTTAACTGTAGACCATAGTCTGGAAGCACACATAGGCTACTTGCTTTTGTTTAAACCGGACAGACGTACCCGAAGGCTAAATGAAAATGTTTGGTAGAATAAATACAATAAACATGAAGTTCTAGTCATTCCTGATTTTATTACTAATTCGTTTTCAACTTGTCTACGATAATCTACTTGAAATATTGGATTATTCCCAACCGTCACCCCGATCTGTCTCCACGTGAGAATAAAAATTTTCATCCACTCCACCTTTTAGTCCTACTATCACAAATAAGGTGACAGATAGAACCGTTTTAAAATAAAGTAAGTCCAACCGTCCCCTCGTCGCAAAGGTGGGACGGGAGATTCTTTTTATTCTCATCTGTTCCCACGTGGGGACTGAGCGGGGTGACGGTTGCGAATAATCGGAAATATCTGTACAAATTGCATTATCTATTTTGGAAGATGATAAAAAGAATGGTCCCCTCCAT